CATTACTGCCGGACAATCTAATCCAGCGGTTCTCAACCTGTGGGTTGCGACCCCTTTGGCGGTCAAACGACCCTTTCACAGGGGTCGCCTAAGACCATCCTGCATATCAGATATTTACATGACGATTCATAACAGTAGCAACATGATGGTTATGAAGTAGCAACAAAAATAATTTCATGGTTGGGTCACAACATGAGGAACTGTATTTAAAGGGCCAGAAGGCTGAGAACCACTGATCTAATCAGTGCTCTCAGACATCAGTGTGGTGAAGGCCTGGCAGGGGCCGGGCCTGAGTAGAGAGGGTCCATGGGCAGAAAAGGGAGGAACATCTGTACTACCTCCTCCAGAGGGTCTTATTAGCTTACCCACTCTTCACATATATGTTTCTCCTCTGGTTCCCATTCTTAATAAAATAAAATGTAGTAATATTAGCAGCTACTGCTTTGGGTTACTCTTCAGAAAACAATGATCCAGTTGCTTTCTTTAAAAATGTATGTTAAACATAACAGATAAATTTTACAAATGGGTTCATTCTATCATCTCCAAGGATAAAGTAACCACCAAGAAACTTAACACACTTCCTACACGATCACCAAGTGGCATCATCACTTCTCTCTTCTCCCCTCCTTCCCTCCCTTCAGGAGTTCATCGGAGAGAGCACTGTGTGTGTCAGGCACTATGTTTGAAGAGGAGGAATCAATGGTGAAGGAAATGTAGTTATGACCTCTGTCTGCCCTCATGGGTCTTCCTTTATTTTTTTTTTGAGGGCGACATACATCAGTCAAATATTAACACACAGAAAATTGCACATGTAATGAGAGATATAAAGAAGAACGGAGTCTGTACTATATACATACATAACAGAGGAACTGAATTTAACTGGTCAGCTGGTGAAAGCTTCCCAGAACTGACTCCTAAGCTGCAATCTTAGGGGTACATGGTAACCAAGTAGGTATAAGAGGAAAAACATTACAGGAAAGAGAAAGAACATAAAATGCCCTATGGGCTGGAAAGAAAATGTAGCGAGTAGGAGAAATTCAAGTAAGGCCAGTGTATAGGAACCAGACAAACTGGGGCCGGGTGTGGGGTGAGGCTACAGAGCAGGTGTGCCTGCTGTTCCGAGATCGGAGACCCGGCGGGATACCTGAGGGGTTTGTCCCTTGCCCTCAGCTAAAATTAAGGCAGATACGGAGGGAAACCGACCAATTTATCACCAACCGTAAGAAAAGAACGTCCCTTCCACAGTGGAGATAATAGATTAGGAAGCGCACATAGAGACTGTACGTGCACCAGGTTCCAAAGACCCTGCAAATTCCTGTCAGACATGTTGACAGCTTGTGGTGGATCAGTGAAAAGCAAACAGACCTAAAAAAATACTGTGTGTGTGGGGGGGGCGGGGGGCATTTCTTATTAACATGTTAAATATGAATGTTGAAATACATCAAGGATTAAAAAAAAACTTGTAGGTTTCTGAACTAAGAAAAGCAATTTAGTAGTTACAAGGAAGAATTGAGGGTTGACTGAAGGAGATCATAAACTTCATTGGAGATGTTTTAACTTTAAAGTATCTTTGAGCATAAGAGGATAAATCAAAAGGAAGTGATGTGACTGAGTGCAAAACACTTCATAAGATCATTTTTTTCACTATTGTGATTTTTCTAAAGGGATTCTGAGTGATTAAAGAGCAATATTTGAAACAGAAACAAACAAAATTTAAGTTAAAATAAACAACTACCATATAACCCCAAGAACACAAAATGAAGAGGTTTATTATATTTAACACTAGAGACCTGGTGCACAAATTCGTGCATGGGTGGGGTCCCTCCCAGCCGATCAGTGCCGGCCAGCCACGGGAGGTTGGCTGTGGGAGCGCACTGACCACCAGGTGGCAGCTCCTGTGTTGAGCATCTGGGTTGCCAGTGTGCGTCATAGCTACTGGCCAGTTGTCTGATCGGCTGGTTGGCCAGTCATAACCGTCACTTAGGCTTTTATATATATACTAGAGGCCCAGCACATGAAATTCATGCACTTGGGGGTGGGGGAGAGGGGTCCTTCAGCCCAGCCTGCGTCTTGCAGTCTAGGAGCCTTTGGGGATGTCCAACTGCTGCGGAGAGGGGAGAGGCTCCTGCCACTGCTGCTGCGCTTGCCAGCTGTGAGCCCAGCTTCTGGCTGAGCAGCAGTCCCCCTGTGGGAGCGCACTGACCACCAGGAGTCTGCTCGTGCACTGAGCATCTGCCCCCTGGTGGTCAGTGTGCATCATAGCGACTGGTTGTTCTGCCATTTGATTTGCATATTAGCCTTTTATTATATAGGACTAGAGGCCCAGTGCACAAAAATCATGCACAATAAACCTCCACAGGGTTTCCAAAATGCCAGCATTCCTTTGCTCTGCTGTTCAGATTTTGTTTTCTTAAGATTCAACAAAGCACTTTGTGGTTTCAAATCAATGGTCTCTCCATATCATTCGGCTGTTAGAAGGAAGCTTCAAGCACCTGCATACTTTTCAGGCTCAGTCAGGGACAGTGGAGTCCATGTGTCTTTTGGCGGTCAGTCCAGATGGGAATTGGTTAGCTGCATCAGGCACCAGTGCTGGAGTCCATGTGTGCAATGTGAAACGTCTAAAGCTTCACTGCATGGTTCCTGCTTACAATTTCCCTGGGACCGCTCTGGCCATAGCCCCCCAAACCAACAACCTGGTCATCGCTCATTCTGACCAGCAGATATTAGAATATAGCATTCCAGACAAATAGTATACAAAGTGGAGCTGGACCATCCAGAAGCAGGGGTTTCATTACCTTTGGCACCAAAGGGATACTCCCATCACACACATCAGTTTTCATCCCAAGAGACCAATGCACATTCTTCTCCACAATGCATACATGTTCTGCATCATCAAGTCGTTGCCTCTTCCAAATGACAAAACCTTACTGTACAATCTACTTCCTCCCACAAATGAATCAGATGTCATCAGGAGGCGCATAGCCCATGCCTTTAAAATTTCTAAGATATGTAAGCCTCTACTCTCCATAGATCTTTTGGATGAAAGAACACTGGTGGCAGTATAAAGGCCCCTGGATGACATCATCGCTCAACTCCCACCACCCATCAAAAAGAAGAAATTTGGAAACCGGTTTGGCTCGGTGGATAGAGCGTCAGCCTGCGGACTGAAGGGTCTCGGGTTCGATTCTGGTCAAGGGCATGTACCTGGGTTGCGGGCACATCCCCAGTAGGAGATGTGCAGGAGGCAGCTGATCGATATTTCTCTCTCATCAATGTTTCTAACTCTCTATCCCTCTCCCTTCCTCTCTATAAAAAAATCAATAAAATATATTTTTAAAAAAAGAAGAAATTTGGGACCTAAAACAGGGCACTGTCTGTGTCCTTCCTTGAACTGTTCTGCCCTATGTGTTTTCACAAATCATGTTAATAAAAAATGTTATTCTTTAAAAAAAATTGGGCCTAAACGGGCAGCTGGACATCTCTCACAATCCTGAACCACTGGTTCCTAATCACTCACCTGCCTGCCTGCCTGATAGTCCCTAACTGCCCCCACTGCTGGCCAGGTCGCCCCCAACTGCTCCCTACCTGCCAGCCTGGTTGCTCCTAAATGCCCTCCCCTGCCAGCGTGGTCACCCCAACTGCCCCCACTGCTGGCCTGATAGTCCCTCACTAACCCCCCTGCTAGCCTTGTCATAGGCAGCCATCTTGTGAGGGCATAACTGTTAATTTGCATATAACCTCTTTATTATATAGGATAGATACTAGAGGCCCGGTGCACAACACCTGTGCACTGGGGGCGGTGAGTGGTCTGCGCTCTCTTGCAGTCCAGAACCCCTTGGGAGATGTCTGCCTGCAAGTTTGGGAGCAGACCTAAGCTGGCAGGCGTACATCCCCGAGAGGTCCATAGTGCTGCTGTGGAGGTGAGAGAGGCTCCAGAAACTACTGCTGTGCTCGCCAGCCATAAGCCCAGAGGTGGTGGCAGACGCCTCCCCTGCCTCTGAGGCAGCGCTAAGCAGCAGTGAGCACAGCTTCTGGCTGAGAGACTCTCCCCCATGTGGGAGCGCACTGACCACCAGGGGGAAGCTCCTGCATTGAGCATCTGGCCCCTGGTGGTCAGTGTGTGGCACAGTGACCAGTCATTCCCAGTCATTCTGCTGTTAGGGTCAATTTGCATATTACCCTTTTATTATATAAGAGTCCCTGGCCAGCCTGTGTGAGGGACTGATGGCTATTTGAAGGCTAGCTAAGCCCCTTCAGCATGGGAGTCCCCCCTCAGGGGGCCCAGCCAGCCTGGATGAGGGGCTAATGGCTGTTTTCAGACTGGCCACAGCCCCTTCAGGGTGGGGGCTCCCCCTGTGGTGCCTGGCCAGCCAGGTGAGGGGCTGATGGCTGTTTTCAGGCTGGCCACAGCCCCTTCAGTGTGGAGGTCCCCACTGGGGTGCCTGGCCAGCCTGGGTAAGGGGCTGAGGGCCATTTTCAGGCTGGCCACACCCCCTTCAGGGTGGGGGTCCCCACTGGGGTGCCTGGCTAGTCTGGGTGAGGGGCTGCGGGCCGTTTTTAGGCTGCCTAAACCCCCCCAGCAGGGACCCTCACCCCATGGGGGTATGGCTAGCCTGGGTGAGGGGCTGATGGCTGTTTGCAGGCTGGCCACAACCCCCAGCCACGCAAGCTCCCAGTGGAGGCTGGCTGGAAGCAGGTATCTGGGATTTATTTGTCTTCTATAATTGAAACTTTGTTGCCATGAGCAGAGGCCACAGCCTGCTTAGGGCAGGTGGGAAGCTTCGCTTCCTCCATCACCCAGGTAACCAAGCCTCCTGCTTGCTCCAGCTCCATGGCTGCTGGCCGCCACCTTGGTTGGGTTAATTTGCATATAATCGCTCTGATTGGCTGGTGGGTGTGGCTTAGGGTGAAGCAAAGGTACAGTCAATTAGCATCTTTGTCTTTTACTAGTATAGATTAGGTATGTTATATACAAATAAAAATTATGTTTTCAGAATTACCTTTCATGGATTGAATCTGATGTCATTTCAATATCCATCTCAAGTTTTTTATTTTCTTCTAGCAATTTATTATATACCACTGAAAGATCTGAAAAATCTTTTGCGACAACAGCAAGCTCATCGTCCCATGCTTTTTTCTTTAAGAAAAGAATAAAAGAATCATTTGTACATATTTATGTATCTCAAAAATAAATAATATATAAAATAATAAGATTACTTTAGTTGTATAAGTTAATGTTTGGGAATTGAGAATGGAAATCCAGAGGGAAGTAGACAAGGTCAACTTACTGAAGAACGAAAATTCTGAAGCACTTCCTCATATTCACTTTCATAATTTTTTTTCCTCCAGAGTAGTTGTTCATAAATTTTTTTCAAATCTTCTAGCTAAGAGAAAATGTACACAAAAATAAATTAATGTGGCAAATTATATTATTTTATAAAATAAGAAATAGATTATATTTCACTTTATGCAGTTATCATAAGTTAATAAATATTGATTAAGATAGTATAAAATAATACCATAGGCTGTTTTTTATATATTAAAGATTCAGAATAAAATATAGAAAATCAAGTCTAACAGTGCACAAATGAATAATTCATCACGATAAAATAAAATGTATTTAGTTATGTTGTAAGAATAAAGATTTGTTCATTTAAGTCATAATTCATCACATCAACAAATTAAAGCAGAAAATAACATGAATAGAGCCAACAGTTCACCAAACAGCCATGTGACTTTCACTATGTAGTTTCTGTAATTTTTAAACTAGAACAAGGAAGAACTACCCAAATATAAAAAATCAACAGCAAACATCAAAATAAATCATAAAATGCTAAGTGCATGCCCACTGAACTAACAAATAAGAATGGCTTATGCTTTGCCAACATTACTATTAATCATTTTTTTGTGAAAGTTTAGCTAAATGCAATTGAATAATGGAATCAAATGTTACTATTATAATATTGAATGTGAATAGGTAACATGTATACAAATTTAGATTATCTGATTTAATATCTACCAGAGATTCTATCCAAAACTATAGCAAATGACTTTGGTAAAATGCCCTTGTACAAATATAAGATAATAGCTCTTATCTATAAGAGAAATAAGCTACTAAAAACATAGTGATACCCAGGTAGTGTGGCTCAATAGATTGAGTGTCATTCATGGACGAAGAGGTCTGGGGTTTGATTCTGGGTCAGGGCACATGCCTGGGTTGTAGCTGGATCCCCAGTAGGGGACGTGCAGAAGGCAGCTGATCAATGATTCTCTCTCATCATTGTTTCTTTTTCTCTCTCACTCTCCCTTCTTCTCTATCTAAAAATCAATAAAAACATATTTTAAAAACAAAGTGAAAATACTTACAAAATTTGGTAAAAAAATATATGAAATTTTATAATAAATCCAATACAAACAGGAAGACTTATGTAAAACAAACACAAATTTTTATTTAAAAGTTTAAATCAAGACCCACATTAAAAAACATGGCATGTCATTCAAAGGCCTAATAAAATACAATGTTAACCCAAAATTAATGCAAAGCATACTAGAAATATTATTTTTCAAACTGCATGAAATGAAATTAGTATAGATGACTAGTCAAGAGGTATACGAAAAATAAAAAATTATGTTGGAAACTTGCTACCAGATATTAAAAACATCATACAATACCGTTAGAATAAAACACTATTTATTTTTTGGTATCGTAATAAAGATCAGAGGAAAAAAACTAGAGCGAAAAATAGGTCTGAATTAGTATTTTTAAAAGTGGTATTTGAATTCAGTAAGAGAGGAATCATTTACTTTAAATGATGTAACTGGAATAATGTATAGTATCTATTTTAAAAAACTAAAGTGGTCTCTTTAGTGCACATTAAACTCACATTATTATAAACTAAATTTCAGATAAATAAAATTTAAATGCAAAACAATGCAAAATATTAAAATAATCAATATGAGTTTGTCCGTATAATCTTGGGCTAAAAGAGAATATTACCTTGCCAAGTACACCAAAAAGACCTGTTGACATGTTTGACAGCATGAGCAAGACTGAAGGAAAAGTAAGACTGTTGAAAAATGTGAACTAAGAGTCCAACATTCCAAGATATAAGTTTAGTGACAGGCATCAATGAAAATGGCAGAGTAAGAACATCTAAAAATTCTCCTCCATAAGGGTAATGAGAAAACTGGCCAAAAAAAATGTCAAAATTAACTCTCAGAACTATGGAGATTAACTAAAGGCTGTCAGCAACCTGAGGTGCACTTATTCAAGAAAACCAGCCTGACCTTATTAAGATGTATGAGCTCTGTGTTCTGTTTTTGTGTTGTTTTTGTGTGACAAAGGTGGAGATTTACTGAAGAACAAGTACAGACTCCCATGTGGCGGGCAGGGGTGGAGGCGGGGGGGAGGGAGGGTCCCCCTTGTGTTGTTTTAAGTTGTTCCAATCCCTCCCTCCTTTGGTCCTTGGTAGCCTTGGGAAATACCGCTCCACATTTGTGGAGAACACCAGCATTCAGGTGGCCACCAGAAGTAGGAGAACAAAACTGGGAGGCTTTCAAAGCTTCCTGCCATGAGAATTATTGTTAATTGACCCGCGGGTGGCTTTCTGAAGACTCCACTTGCAAGGATGTCTGTATCTGACTTAATATAAAGCTCACCCAGTACAAAAAGTCTCTCTAGCCCTAACCGGTTTGGCTCAGTGGATAAAGTGTCAGTCTGTGGACTGAAGGTCCCAGGTTCGATTCCAGTCAAGGACATGTACCTTTGGTTGTGGGCACATCCCCAGTAGGGGGTGTACAGGAGGCAACTGATGGATGTTTCTAACTCTCTATCCCTCTCTCTTCCTCTCTGTAAAAAAATCAATAAAATATATATAAAAAAGAATGGTGCCTAGGTTGCAGGCTCAATCCCTCGCCCTGGTCAGGGTGCATGCAGGAGGCAACCAATCAATGTGTGTCTCTCTCATATTGAAGTTTCTCTCTCTGTGTCTCTCTCCACTCCCTTCTATTCCCTCTAATAATCAACAGAAAAGTACTCTCAGGTGAAGATTAACAAACACACACACACTACAACAACAACAACAACAACAAAAGTCTCTCCAAAATAGTATTACACATAGAACATTCTCTATGAAAGACCTTATGCTAGGCTATAAAACGAGTCACATTAAATTTTAGAATCCAGTCTCCCTTTCCATCAGCTGGAAAAAAAAGAGTACCATTTGTGAAATCTAGGGAACCAAATAAACTAACAAAATATAAACAAACTCATAGAGAAGAGAGTAACAGAAAACAGACTGACAGCTGTTATAGGGGAAGGGGGTTGGGAGTTGGGTAAAAAAGATGAAGGAATAAAGAAAAAAATATACACCTCATATACACAGACAACAGTATGGTGATTACCAGAGAGAAAGGGTGGTGGGGGAGGTAGGCAAGGGTAAAGGGGGAGTAAATAGTGATGGAAGGAGACCAGACTTAGTAGTAAACAAATAGTCCTATATAATAAAAGCCTAATATTCAAATCAACCAAACAGCAGAAGACCAGTGGAATGACCGGTCGCTATGACACACACTGACCACCAAGGAGTAGACGCTCAATGCAAGAGCTGCCCCCAGCCTCACAGGCACCAGGCCAGCCAATGCAGGTGCCAGGGTGGGCCCCTCAATCGCCCCGCCAGTTACCCTGCAGAGGAAGACAACCAGCGGTGGCAGGGGTCAGGGTTGGCTGGTGAGTGGGCTGGTGCTGCTCCCCAATTTCCTCTGTGGGAGGCAAACCGTGGTGGTAGAGGGGGACAGGTCTGGCGAGCAGGTGGTGCCAGGCCAGCCAATGTGGGTGCCAGTGGGGGCCCCCCAATCATCCCGCCGGCCAGGCCTAGGGACCCTACCCATGCATGAATTTCATGCATCAGGCCTCTAATACAATATACAGAAGATGTATTACAAATTTGTATAACTGAAACCTATATAATTTTATTAACCAACTAGAGGCCCAGTGCAAGAAAATTTGTGCACTCAGAGGGTGTCCCTCAGGCCAGCCTGCGCCCTCTCATAGCCCAGGACCCCTCAAGGGATGTCCACCTGCTGGCTTAGGCCCACTCCCCAGGGGATCGGGCCTAAGCTGGCAGTCAGACATCCTTCTGGCAGCCTGGGAGTCCTGGGGCCTAAGTCATTAGTCAGACATCCTTAGCACTGCCATGGAGGTGGGAGAGGCTCCTGCCACTGCCGCTGCATTGTCCAGCCATGAGCCAGCTTCTGGCTGAGCAGTGCTCCCCCTGTGGAAGTGCACAACCACCAGGCAGGCAGCTCTTGCATCATTTCTGGTCATTCCACTGTTGGGTCAATTTGCATATTACCCTTTTATTATATAGGACTAGAGGCCTAGTGCATGAATTCATATAATGGGTGGGGTCCAGCCAGCCTGCCCCGATAGGGTCTGAGGCTGAGCTGGAGGGGAGGAGGGGTCATGGGTGGTTGGCCAGCCGGCCCCAACCCCAATCAGGGTGGGGGGGACCGAATGGGGACAGGACCAGCTGCGGGGAGGGACCATGGGAGGTTGGCAGGCCAGTCCCACCCCGGACTGGGCTGGTTGACAGGCCACAGTGGGCATCATAGCAACTGGTCATTCCGGTTGTTCTAGCCTTCTGGTCACTGGCTTTTATATATATAGATGTCACCCAATAGATTCAATAAAAAAGGAAAAAAGATTAGACTTCTCTTCACACCCTACCCATAAATGAATTTCATATTGATTCTGCTTCACACCTGGCAAGTGAAATATACATTCCTAAAATTCAAGAGATAGTTTATTATTTACAAACTTGTACATAAAAGATAGAATGACAAAAAACTCAACTTTGGTTATTTTGAACATGGCTTCATTTAAGAGCACTCTGTAAATATGAAAAGCAAAATTTCAAAACATTTGCAAAATTATAACACAGGTTTTTTTTGTTGTTGTTGTTTTTTTACTTTGAGGTAGAAAAAATTTCTTAAGTTCAGAAAATCACAAAGTTCAAAGAAAATTATTATAACTTTTACTAAATTAACATTGAAATTTCATTCATCAGAAGTTATAAAGACATGAAAAAAGACTAGGGGGGAAATATTTTTAAATATGTAACTTTAAACTATTTAGTATCAATAAACAACCAATTCCTACAAATCAATAAAAAATAAGCAATCACGCAACATATAGGGGAAAAAGTCATGAGCAGGTTTTACATGGAAAAGGAAATACAAATGACCTCCCAAAAGCCATTAAAATATGCTCAGCTCATTAATAACTATGTATTATTTTTTTTAAATCAGATACAATTAAAGAGAGATAATAGAAAGTGGCAAAAAAGACATGCAGTTTTAACTCTAGGTAGGAATGCAAATTGGAACCAGAATGTGTATATTATTGCCTGTTAAAGATACTGCTATTTCTTTTTACCATTTTATCACTTCCTTTTACAATTATTTCCTTTCACTGTAGTAAATGAGATGTGGCAGAAGAGGAAGACAGGAAAAACGAGTCACAAGGGAAGATCAGGGTGATACCAAACATGACGGGACTTGATCCCCATTCGTGGTTTAAAGTTGAAAAAACCTACCAACAGGGGAAAACCAGCACAGAATGGGCCACGTGGCTCAGGGGTTGAGCATTGACCTATGAACCAGGAGGTCATGGTTCGTGTCCCCATCTGAGGCACACGCCCAGGTTGCGGGCTGGATCCCCACTAGGTGGTGTGCAGGAGGCAGCCGATCCATGATTCTCACCCATCACTCATGTTTCTATCTCTCTCTTCCTCTCCCGTCCTCTCTGAAATCAATAAAAATGTATTTAGAAAAACAAACACAGAGGCTGATCCCCGGCTGACCAGCACGAAGGAAACAAACGCCTCAGTTCTGCAACCATAGCACCTGCATCCTGCCAAAACCGAGTGGGCCCGAAAACAGACTCGTCCTGGAGCCTCCAGGAAGAAATGCAGGGCTGGGGCGCCTTGGGTCCAGGCTTGGAAATCCTGCAGGAGAGCAACCAGCTGAGCCGCGGCCCGAGAAACTTGGAGATAATGAATAGTGCTGTTTGAAGCTGCTAAAATTCGGATAATTTGTTAGGCGGCTATAGGAAACCAAAACTAAAGTCAGTACATTTTGTTTTTTAAAACATGAAAACTCACCATTTTTGTTAAGGCAGATAATTCGTCTGAGGACGTCCGTGTTTCCTGCAGGGTGACAGTCATGGCCTCCTCGTTCCTCTCGATGCTTTTGTTCACATTTTGAATCAAGTTTCTGTACTGATCAAAGATGACGGTAAGCTGGTCCATCTGGTTCCTAAGGGAAAAACACAGCGGTGATCTTATCTACATTGAAAGGAAAATTATATTAAAGTTAGGGATATTTAAATTAGCTTCTGACTTAATATAAATCAATGAAATTCATGTATTCTTGAGAGTTCTCCCATTCCAAAGCAACTCCTGAAAAGTACCACCTCGATATCAAAGGTAAACAGCCAGAAATATTCGCCAGTAGTAGTTGTTTCCAATGTAAATGGATTAAGAGAAACAGATGATGTATTATAGAATGTATACCTGAAACCTATATAATTTTATTAACCAATGTCACCCCACTAAATTTAATAAAAATAAAACATTTGTAAATTATTTAAAATAAATTACTTGTTTAACTTGATTTCAGGTGAGAGACCTCTGACTCATATGTTGGATAGTACAGGGATAGAAAAGCAAGAAAAAAAAAGAGAAAGGGGGGCATGACTGCAAGTGAGGGGGTGGAGGTAGAAGAGGGTACGGGGCGGGGGAGTAAATGGTGATGGCAAATAGTAAAATAAAGATAAAAATGTTTAAAGAAACTAAAAGAGAAGATGTAAACGTGAAAGGGCCACACAGTCTTTGAGGTGAAACGGGAGAAACTGTCCTTGATAACAAGAGGCTCATTTGAAAGAGGTCATTGCCAAGGGGTTCTGTGTTCCTATGTGACTTCCCACAGAAAGGACCAGCACTACTCTGTGAACCCCATAACCCTTTCTCTCCTCCGGTCGGTGGAAAACACATTCCAAATATTAAAATCTCCTTAGGCAATGTTGTTCTAATTTAATATATGGAAAAAGTACAGCGAGAAAGTGACAAAGTTATCATCTACAGATAACCCCAACTTTTTTTAGATATCGATAATAATAAAAGAGTAATATGCAAATCAACCGAACGGACAAATACAGGAACGACAGTCCGAAAGACCACACTATGACACCCACTGGTGCCAGGCCAGCCAAGGCAGATGCGATGTGATTAGTCTAGGGCCCCGCCATCGCCCCACGATCGCCCTGCAGAGGGAGGCCCAGGCCACGGGCTAGCAGGGCAATCAATCAGGGGTCTCTACAATCACCCCAAAGAGGGAGGCCCAGACCATCAACTGGCAGGCTGCAGCGGGTGGGTTGGGCCTCCCTTAGCAGGGGCAAACCATTGCAGAGGCCTGGCCGGGTGGGCAGAGCCTACCTCTTTGGAGTGATTGATCGTGGAGCCCCGTGATTGATCACCCCAAAGAGGGAGGCCCAGGCTACCTGGCCGGCGGTGCAGCGGTGGGTGGGTGGGGCCTCCCTCTGCAGGGTGATGGATCATGGGACTTCCAGACTGTGGGAGGGCACAGGGCGGGCTGAGGGAACCCTCCCCCAAAAGTGCACAAATTTTGTGCACCGGGCTTCTAGTTATAAATAAAATAATAAACTGGGAGATTTATTTGAAACCCATAAAAGTGACATGATTACATGGGAAATACAGGAAAAAAATTTTTAATGATCAAAACTTAAAACTGGTGGTACATTTACACAATGGAATACTATGCAGCTGTAAAGAAGGATATCTCACCCTTTGAGACAGCCTGGAGGGACCTGGAGAGCATTAAGCTTAGCAAAATAAGCCAGTCAGAGAAAGACAAGTGTCACATGATGTCACTAACATGTGGAATTTAATAAACAAAATAATCTGATGAACAAAATAGATCCAGAGACACAAAAGCATGAGACAGACTTATGAATTTCAGAGGGAAGGGGGGGAAAGAAGAAATTAACCAAAGAATTTATATGCATTTGTGCATGACCCATGGACGCAGACTATAGTGAGGTGAAGGCCTGGGGATGTAGGTGAGAGGGGGTCAAAATGGGAAATCTGTGATTCTTTCAACAATAAAGATAATTTTAAAAAGTTACATAATGTTCCCTGACCAAAGTATAATTCAGCTGGAAAATAATAATAAGAAGAAAATAGAAATTCATCATAGAAAATTCTTAAATATATTTCTTAATAACTCATGGGTAAAAGAGGAAATCACAATGAAAATTAGAAAATACATTAGTTAAATGACAATGAAGATATAACAAATCAGATGAATTACAAAAGTAATTTATATATTAAATAATAGATTATATTTAAGCACATGTTAAAATGGACATAGGGCTGAGGAAATATAAATATCTTAATTAATGGATGTTATCTAGATCACAGGTTTATAAATAAATTTCGTGTTCTTCATTTTGCTATGCCTACTTAATTCTAGTTGTATATAAATAAGAGCTTTGCTACAGCACATGTAGATTTGGGCACCTGAAACCTGTATAATTTTGTTAACTAGAATTACCCCCAATAAATTCAATAAAAATAAAATGAGTTTTTCTATACTAAATCATTGATCCATTTGAATAAAGGAAATTTTCCTATACACAGAACCATAAAAAATTTAAAGACAACAAGTGGAATTGGATGAAATATCATCAAACATAAATATATCAAAAATAAAATAAAAATCACATATATATGTATATACAAAACATAGTCTACATATTTTTAAATATTACATTTTATTAGAAATCAAATAAATAGAAATTAAGATAATTAGATGCTATGTTTATAATTAGCACAAGACTATATAATTTGTTTTAAATAATATCCCATGCTGAAAAAAAATTTTAAATAGTCACTTTTTCACACAGATAGCAGGGATATCTATACTGCTGTATCACATCCACAATTTGGCAAGATGTATGAAGAGTTGTAAAATGTCACCAGGAAAAAACAGTGCTTTAGGAGCCTGTACACACATGGACTCACACTTGTAAAGAAACATATTTTAATTTATATAAAAGCTTGATAAGATAATATGGGTAATTTAGATTCTTTCCTTTCTTTTCATATAAAATTTCATACAGGAATATAAATTACATTTTAATTAATATTTTACTTCTAAATTATATAAGTAGAATTTGTGAAAAATTCTTACTTGTAGGCTTCCATGTTTTTTACATCATTTTCAATATCTTTTTCCATTTCTTCTCTATTTTGTATAATTTTCAATTTCAGTTTTTCACAGTCTTCTATAGCATCTTGAAGTTCTCCATGAACTTGTCTGTATAGTTCCATTACCTAGAAATTAAAAAATATTTTGCTAACATATGCACATAATGGCTAATTAAAAGAATCAGACAAAAGACAGAGCAGAAAAAGGACCTTAGACTTTGTTTCTATTTAAATAAAAAGTTCTTCATCTTGATTTTCTTCCCATACTCAGTCTACTGTTGGGCACAGTTTCTGAGTTTCCTCTCCCCTGAAGGCATGAATACTGAGGGTGTACAAAAGCTACTGAAGAGAACAGCTTCAGCCCTCCAGTGAGCAGGACCAAAATGAAACCATTACCTTGTCACCCACACAAAACTGCTACCTTTTACTGGTTTTATTGTTCAAATGCTGTCTTGTAGAAAAGTCAGAAAACACAGATAAAAATAAATGAAATAACCTTAACCTTTTCATTCAGGAATAACCATTATTATCTATCTATATAAAAGGCTAATATGCTAAGTGTCCTTCCCACTGTCCGACCAGTCGCTATGACACACGCCTGGAGCAGATGCTCAATGCAGGAGCTGCCATGACGCACACATGCCATTTATAGAGAAATGGCAGTGCGGACCTGGCTGACAAAGCAACACTTGGCTTCCCCCAAATGGGACACAGGCCCTGCTACCAACCCAGAGTGACAGTCCACCAAATCGCAACCAACGCTGCCGTGACTCCCCCCACTCCCCGGCCAGTCTGGAAACGGTCGCTGTGGGCAGCAGATAATGACGTCCCATAGCGACTAGCCTCTATACCCTCGTGGAAACATTTACACTTTAACCAAATGTCTGTGAAGTGTCTTCTGTGCCTCATCTCATGTGATCCTCACAGAGTCCCGGAGTAGACAGACAGCAGACACGGTGGAATCCCCCTTTTTTTTTTTCATTAGCCAGAAAATGGAGATTTAGAAAGCTTAGAAACTTGACCCGACTGAAAAGAAGAAAGAAATGGTGGACCTTGAAAAACTAACTTCAGGTTTTCTCACTGTGCAGAATATAGTCAAACACTGCCGCAGCTAAATATTTTACCCTTTGTTCTCCCTGTGTGATCTACAATAACAATCTGCTTCGTGTTGATATTTACTGCTGTGTTGCTGACAATTACCTGAAAGAGAAGTTGGGGTGCTTCACTGGGCTGGAAAAACTTTAGCTAAATCAGAAAACAGGTCTAATTAAGCAAGTTTATCTATATACATATAAAAGGCTAAGTTGACTTGCACATGCACAATACATATAAAGCTCTTGCTGGTGCCAATCACACGCGTGTGTTTCCACCTGTCATTGTCAATCGTAAATTTGGTTGACACCTCTATTATAGAGAAAGGGCAAATAGCGATATTAAAATATTTCTTCTAATTGATTTCCTTTCAATGTGCACGAATTTATGCACCAGGCCGCTAGTCTTATTATAAGTGTCAAAATATTCCATTTTTATTGTCTTTATTAATTAGTAACATAAACACTCTCCTGTCTCTCTCCATCTCTCCTTTCTGTCACACTAAGGAGAAGGGTGGTTATCCTGGTCATCAGGCAGGACTGAAGGACTGGAGGTCCTGTTAGCAGTGGGGGTAGGGGTAATAGAAGGCACTAGGAGCAAGGAGTCCTTTCCCCAAGTCGTAGACCAATAGGAGGCAGTTGCCTCCTGGGAAAAGCAATAAATCTCATTATTTAGCACAGACAACAGTAACTCCTACAAGATTTTCCTTTAGGCTCGGGAGTGTAGGGTATATACATAATTTTTTTATTCTCATTATAAATAAACTTTTTTACTTTAACTTTTTCATTTAACTTTTTTTTCCAAAGGAAGTTTCAGATAAATGTACAGGGCAGGGGGTTGGGGATGGAGGCTCCTCCTGCACCCTTCACCCAAATTCCCCCAATGCTAGTATCTTGTGTACCTACAATCTGACACCAAACCAGAAAACTGGCATTGGTTCAGTCCTTAGAGCAACGACACATTTCACTGGTAAAATCATTTCTGATTTTAGTAGTTTGACTTTTCTCGTTTTTTTTCTTAATCAGTCTAGCTAAATGTTTGTGCATTTTGTTATATTTTTCAAAAAGCCAACCTTCAATTACTTTTATTTTCTTTCTTGTTTTCCTATTACCTACAGTATTTTTATCTCCACACTGTAATCTTTATCATTCCCTTTGTTCTGCTTTTGGGTTTAGCTTGCTCCTGTCTTCTAGTTTCATAAGGCATAAAGTTAGGATAGTGAGTAAATGTGGATGTTTACAGCTGTTAATTTTTCCTGTGGACACTGCTCTGGCTGCATCCCATAAGTTTTCATGTGCTGTGTTTTGTTCACATTTATATCAGACTATTTTGTAATTTCCCTTGTTATTTCTCCCCCCCTCTCTCTTTCTCTCTCTCTTAGAAATACTTTAATTCCCATATATGTGTGAATTTCCCAGTTTCCTTCTATCACTGATTTATAGTTTTATGTCATTGTGGTCAGAGAAGATACTTAGCATGAATTCAGTCTTCTTACATTTATTAAGTAGTGGAAGCAAGATGTCAGAATGTATGACAAAATTTCACAGGCATAGAAAATTATGAAAAATGGGACTTATGTTATGTTAATACGTTTATCTATGAGCATTTCTAGTTTTGGTCATTAGTGATGGTAGTTTGATGATGATAGAGAAGTCACTGAAGTTGAAGAGGTCAAAGGTCATGGTGCTTAGGGCTTCACATGGTGCTTCAATTACTTTACTTAAAGTAATTTATCTTCCTACATTTGGGAATAATATCTGATGTCCTCTATTTTTCATAATATTCTCTAAGGACAATTATTTATTTTTCAGGTTATAAATGTTTAATAGAAATTAACATCTCAGGCACAAGAGAGAGAATGCTTTCTGTGTTTGTAACACAGAGGCAAAATGGAAGATCGTGATTAATTTAAAACTTAGTTTCTCTGAACACTTTATGGTACATGATTAAAAAAAAAAAAAAGACCAACCATAAGTAACACTTTCTTTTTCCTAATCTGCAACACAACTATTTATCAATTACTTATTTAATTATTTACCCATAATTCAAAAGCTCTTACTATGTTCCAAGTAATGTTATTTGTGTTTGAGAATATTCGGTGTTATTATAAAATACTTATATGCAAAGGATAGTATGCTCACTTATATATTGTGTCACATACAGAGCGTGGAGAAGAACAGTTTTGTAATTAGAAAACACGGGGGAAATACATGTTTGCATCAGTTACAATTTTTTTATTTCCAGCACCAGTGAGTGACTCTTGCTAAGTGAATCAAAGGGCAATTTATTATAACAACATCAGTGCCAGGAACTGGTCTGGCATTTGAGAGGTAAAGATCTACCCTACGTCATGAAAATCTGTTGCCTTTCCTTTTATTATTTCACATCCAGATTATCTTCTACTTCTAATCAGAACTATTAATATATGGAAAGTTCTATTCTAGGCATTTCCACATATTGATTTCATGTGCACATGGAACTGGTGATGCAGGCACTGTTGTTATCACAGTAATTTTATACGTGAACTGAGGCACAAAGGTTAAAGAGAGACCTAAAGTCTAGGGGTTCAAACACATGGACTCAAGCTTTTGAACCTGTTCCTGAAACACTATTCTGGCTTACTTTCCTGCAGTATCTATGCACATACTTGTATTGCTCTCTGAGGAGTCATTTGGGTCTCCCCGTGTTCATAATTCTGCTTCTCATTTTTGAGTTTTGTCAGTTATTCTCACACTATGAAAGAAAAATGCATTTCCCTATCACTTTCTTTGTAAAGTATCACTTATTTGTAAGATGTCTGCTCCCTTTACAGCAGAGGGTTTCATATTTGGGTTGCATGACATCTGTAACCCTTCTTCACAGCACCTCAATTTCATTACAGAGCAATACCTTCCCCTGTGTCTTCTACCACAGTGGACGGTTTAAACACAGTCCCTGTCCCCTCTACAAAAGCCAAGAGGGCCAGACTCTCACTCACTTTGATCCCTGTAATAGCAAGAAGGGGGTCAGCTGACCCAAAGCCAGGTAATCAGACTCTTTTCCAGGAATTTAAGATGCAATGAGTGACACAATGACAAGGAAAGAACGGCAAGGCAATCACTGCATTAATTGTGGCTGTACTATCCTGGGTCCTCCACGGAAACTGAAGCAACAGGATGAAGAGACAGAGAGACAGAGAGAGGGAGGGAGGGAGGGAGACACGGATGGGAGGCGGAGGAGAAACATTGATTGGTTGCCTCCCTTACATACACCAACTAGAGTTCGAACCCGTAATTTGGGTTCCCCTGACGGGAATCAAGTTATCTGCAGGATAAGCCAACGCACTAGAGGTGCGGGGAAAAGGTGCAATCCAGGTCTGAAGGTGACTGCTGGCAAATCCTTTCTCGCTAAAAGGAGGTCAGCCACTGTTCTAGTAACTGGAAAGGCCCATTCATGTCATGGAGGGCAGGCTGCTCAATTCAAGCCACTGATTTAAATGTTACTCTCATCCACAACACACCTTCATGCAAACATGCAGATTCATGTTCAACCATAAAATATCTGGCCACCTGGCCCAACCAAGTAGACCAAAAACTAAAAATAAAAAAAGTAAAAATAAAAAACTAACCATCACACTAACCCTCACGGGCTCTACACAAAGGCTGTGATTTTCCCATCCTGCCAGGGTGCCTTTTCTAGTTTTCTTCTCATTTGGTTTGCAAACCTGCTCTCCCAGCTGCCTACCACCCAGCTTCCCCTGCCTTGCACAGGCCTTTGTCCACTACCGGGGGAAAAACACACCAGGCGATTAAAGGGACACCAATGCACACACCTACTGAGACATTCTAAAATACAACAATAACAACATTGACAAAACCGTGAGGTGCTACAGTGGGGGTCGGGGTTCAGTCGGGACTGCTGTGAAGTGGAAGTGGGTGCTGCAGCCACCAGTCCCGGGTAGTGGAGATCTAGGCAGTGGCTGAGTGTGAAAGGCTGGGTCAGTCCGCCTCAAGGAGGTCTCCCAGAACACAGTCAAGGATCCTCCCTCCCTCCCATGAGAAACACGGTGAGAAAAGAGAAACTGGGGTAGGGCCTGTAGCCTGACACATCTCCATCCAACTAGACATGAAAGGAGGATCGCACTAGAATTCTTGCCCATGTTGAATCGCCAGCCCCGCTACGATGCCGGTAATATAAACTGCTAGAGACTCTTTGGAGAGCAACTGAACTCATCTAATAAAGCATTAGCCATGAGCCAGTAAACACCACACTAGATATAGATCCAAGAAAAGTTTACAGACACATAGAAACATGGCAATAATAGCCCATTATTTATAGTCAAGTCAGTTATTTTTTGCTGCTAAATAATGGAAACAACTCAGATGACCAAGAGAAAAGAAAATGGTAAATAATAAATTGTGAGATATTTGTTTGATGAAACATGGCAAGTAAAATGAATGAAGTTGACCTGCTAGTATATGTATCAACCGTTGCTTGATCTCTAAAACAATGTCAGAATAAAAAACAATTTGTAGAAAGTTACCCAACATTTGATACTATTTGAAGAATTAAGAACACTATGTATTGTGTATAAATACATAAATATGTATAAATATACAAATTTTGCCTAGAAACAATTTCATGAAAAGGTTGTCTTTGGAGAGGAAAATGAACTGCTGAGGGGAATACAGGTGATATTTGACTTTATTTACTTTAAAAATTATCAAAAGCAAATATGATACAAAGTGCAATTTGTTCATTTTGTGGCAGGTATAAGTAACTTGGTATGTTTCTATAATACCATCCACAGATAGGAAAGTTAAATGATAACCTTTACTGGGTGTTCCCTGGCATAACCTTGCCGTGTTTCATCAGATATCTCACAATTTATTATTTACCATTTTCTTTTCTCTTGGTCATCTGAGTTGTTTCCAATATTTAGCAGCAAAATGACTGATTTGACTATAAATAATAGGTTATTATTGCCACGTTTCTATGTGCCTGTGAACTTTTCTTGGATCTATATCTAGTGTGGTGTTTACTGGCTCATGGGTTATGCTTTATTAGATGAGTTCAGTAAAGGTGAAATTACAACCTTTACTGGGTGCACCCATTAATAATGCAGATTTTTTCAACAGATGGAGTTACACATATGTTGATATATATGCAATTTGATATGTATGCTATTTTGTTGTATTGACAGCAAGCTTCAAAAATTCATATGTCAAATTTGCTGATGGTGTTATCATCATAGATATTTTTACATTTAAAAATGTCGAATTTTGTGCCAAAAAAATAGCATTTGCGGGAAGTTTTAATTCATTACTTTGTTTTGAAGAAAAGTGCTGCTGAAAGTTATTGTATACTTCAGGAAGCTTATGATGAACATGCTCCATTTCAAGATACTTGTGTGCTAACCGGTTTGGCTCAGTAGGTAGAGAGTCGGCCTGCGGACTGAAGGGTCCCAGGTTCGATTACAGTCAAGGGCATGTACCTTGGTTATGGGTACATCCCCAGTAGGAGGTGTGCAGGAGTAAGCAGATCGATGTTTCTCTCTCATCAATGTTGCTAATTCTCTATCTCTCTCCCTTCCTCTCTGTAAAAAGTCAATAAAATATATTTTTTTTAAAAAGATACTTGTGAACACTGGTTTAAATGCTTTAAAAGTGATGATTTCTGTGTTAAAGACAAAGAATGTCCAGGTCAACTGAAAAATTTTGAAGACCAACAATTACAAGCATTATTGGATGAAGATGTGTGTCAAACTCAAAAACAACTTGCAGAAAGATTAAATATTGCACAGCAAACAATTTCCGATCGTTTACAAGCAATGGGAAAGATTTTAAAGGAAGGAAAATGGGTGCCACACCAACTGAATGAAAGACAAATGGGATACTGAAAAGTCATCAGTAAAATGTTGCTTCAACGGCATGAAAGAAAGTCTTTTTTGCATCAAAGTGTGACTGGCGATGAAAAATGGATTTATTTTGAGAATCCCAAATGCACAAAATCATGGGTTGATCCAGGTCAACCATCAACATCAACTGCAAGGCCAAATCGCTTCAGAAAGAAGACAATGCTCTGCGTTTGGTGGGATCAGGAAGGTGTGGTGTATGATGAGCTTCTAAAACCAGGTGAAACCATTAATACTGAGTGCTACCAACAACAAATAATCAATTTGAATCATGCTTTGATGATAAAACGACCAGAATGTGCCAGAAGGCATGGCAAAGGCATTTTGCTTCATGACGACGCACCATCACACACTTCAAAACCAGTTAAAGACACATTACAAGATCTTGCCTGGGAAGTATTAACCCACCCGCCGTATTCACCAGACCTTGCTCCTTCAGATGACCACTTGTTCCGATCAATGGCACATGCACTTTCTGAGCAGCACTTCAAAACACATGAAGAAGTGGAAAATTGGGTCTCTGAATGGTTTGCCTCAAAACAAGAAAAGTTCTATTGGGATGGTATCCACAAATTATCTGAGAGATGGGGGAAATGTGTAGCTAGCGAGGGACATTATTTTGAGTAAAGCACTTTTGATGTTTCTCTTAAAATTATCGTGTTTTCTCTGATTATAAAATCCACATTAACCGGTACACCTAGTATTTTCATCAACAATGAAATTGACTGATACATCCTACTTGCGTTCTCCTTCAGTTCTATTTACAACTTGAAAAATTTCCATGCTGTTTTAAATCTCCAAAAATTATTAGGTTGACTAAATATTATTAATGCCCCTAAATATACAGTAAGGGAAGACCACGCAGTTGAAATGAATACCAATTAACTGTATGGTATATAGTTAAATAATTCCTCTGTGAAACAAACAGCAGGTCAATTTTCAATGAAATGGAAACCTTTAAAGATATATTAACTTCTTATATTTGAAATACTTTTTTATAACCAAGTAACAATCTATAATATGCATATTCATTCGTTTACCTGAGATTTCTTTTTACTATATTTCCTCAGATTTTGAATTTCCTGCATCAGCTTTGAATTCAGCAGAGCACTGTGTTCATTCATGTAATCTATGTCTGCTTGGACCTTCCCATTAGCTTCTTCCCATGCTGCCTTTTGTTCCTCTAAATGTTTTTTTTTATACGATTTATTTTCAATATGCCATCGTAATTCCAGAATATCTCTCAGATAGGTCTCGTGTTCTAGACAAAAAATGATAAGAACAAAAAATTTTGAAATGGGAGTTTGATAATAGATAAATATGACATATTCTTGTTTCAGAAATTTTTATTTGGAAATCTCACCAAATATAAAATGTTATTTTATCATTGCATTATAAAAGCGATTGCTCTGTATTTCTCACTGAAGGGATTAAAATAAAATATATGCTTTGTAAGTTAATAATTGTTTAAGTACAAGTTTGCTTATTGCACCCAATACCCTGGGTTATATATAACCATCTACCTTTGTTTTAAGAAGTCAGTCATTATCTTGTGAAGTGTCACATTATAATCTCCGTGATGATTTTCTGTGAGATAGTCATCCCTTCTCATTTCATACTGCATGCTCTTATGTATTTTATTCATGTTTCCCACCTCCAGTAGCTGTGATGCATCCCATGTAATTTCCCTCAATTTCACAGTTTAATATTACTTTTCTTTTCTAATAAACCCTTTAACCAACCACTGAGTTATTAAGTAATATAATTTTCTTTTTTATTGTCTTTTTTATCTCCATTTTTGCTTTTAAAAAGTCTTAGTCCTTATTTTCATTTTCAAACTTCTCATTTCTTGAAACTATATTAAACATACTTATTTTATAATTTACTGTATAATCCAATATCTGAAAACATTTTGAGTAAGATTCTGTTGTCTATTTCTACTGATTCACACTCGTTAAGTATGGATCTTTGTGTGCTTTATCTGTTTTCTAATATTTGCTGTTAAGCAACTCCTTACCTTGAAATTTTAACAGATAAAATGTATTCCTTTACATTGAAAAAGATCTACTCTTACGTGAGCTTAGAGTGGTTATATAATTTTTAGAGTTAACTCTTTAAAATATATTTTTATTGATTTCAGAGAGGAAGGGAGAGGGAGAGAGAGAGAAACATCAATGATGAGAGAGAATCATGGATCTGCTGCCTCCTGCACGCCCACCACTTGGGATCAAGCAACCTGGGCATGTGCCCTGACAGGAATCAAACCGTGACCTCCCGGGTCATCGGTCAAACTTCAACCACTGAGCCGTGCCAGTGGGGCTATAGTTAACCCTTTAGAAAAAGGGCTGAAAAAGAGCATAGACACAGCCTGGACTGAAGTCACCCCAGCCTCGCGCTGGGCCCAGTCCTGCTGCTTCACTTCTTCCACAGGAGGAAGTGAACAGATGCAGTTCAAGCTGTTACCTCAGGGTCACTTTCAAGCAGTGGCTCTCAGCCTGTGGGTCGCTGCCCCTTTGGGGGTCGAACGACCCTTTCACAGGGGCCGCCTAAGACCATCGGCAAACACATATATAATTACATACTGTTTTGTGATGAATCACTATGCTTTCATTATGTTCAATTTGTAACAATGAAATTGGGGGTCACCACAACATGAGGAACTGTATTAAAGGGTCGCGGCATTAGGAAGGTTGAGAACCACTGCTTTAAAGAGAGAAAAAAACCACTAAACCTTCATGTAGCTCACTTTACCAAAATAACAAACCTGAGGAACCGCTGGATACTGGGACTGTATCAGGCACAATCAGGGGGGGAACTGTAAAAAAATGTAAACAAAAATTCTGATCTTTTCTTGCCACTCCCTGAAATGTGTATGCCCTACCCTGGGGACTACAGATTTAGACTTATAACATTCTAACGGGTGTATGTGTGAGTTCATTTTTACACAGTATTTGAGTTAATGGCTGTTCTCCCAAAGTCATAATGAATAACAGCACTCTCTTTTCTCTCAAAGGTGTCTTGGTTTAAATGCCAGGTTATGAAGCGCCCTACTGTAACCTATGTATAAAACATACAAATCCTGAATTAACATTTTTACCCTCTGATTGCACAAACAACTTCCAGCCTCAGGAAGACACATATAGTCAGGCATGTTCTGATAGGCAGGTACAGTGTTTGCAGAATAAGAAATCAAATGCTTTTAGACTGGTTAATACCTCACCATAGGTCCCTCCCTCTGGCGTCTAAAAGATAGCGTTTTCCTTTGAAACATTTGTTACCTGCGTGACTCTTGGAAACACCTTAAGTTTCATTGCCTCCTAGAAGTTACCAATAAAACTTACAGCTGAATTCCCCAAAGTAGCTGCATGCAGTCGCTGAAATATCCCTTAGCCCTCTCATGTTTTACTATGTTTAAAGATGTGGCCAATACCACTAACTGGCAATCACTTTCAATTTCTGGTCCTCAAACACTACAGTCATTATATGAAGCATGAGCAGGAAGTTTGCATGCCCCCTGGGTCCCATGAGTGCAAAGGAATTTCAAACACCGATGACAGCAGGTCCAGGTTTGCTCAATGCATTCCTTCCCACTAAGCACTGTCATTAACAGCATCTATTAGAAGTATACCCGTTTGGATGCAAAATCCCAGGAATAGGGTCACTCAAACAGAGCTGATGTTTTATTCCGCGCTACAATCGATTACTCATGCCTGCCTAACAAAGGTAATGGTGGTACGATGAAACGATCCTCATTATTACCTTTCTGCACAGCCATGGGCATTTCTTGAAGTCTCCAGATTGACCAATAATCAATTTTCTTGTTTATCTTCTTCTTTCGTGACTGTTGTCGCTTCAGAGCTTCTTCAGCTTCTGCGCGGTCCGTTTCTAAACTTTTGATGAGAAAAATGGCCTCTGACAGTAACATTTCCATTTCCTGCTTTAATTCTGGACACTTCTCATCTTAAAACAGGAAAAGGCATTCACACTTGTTAATGAGCCAGCCTATAAACTGGGCGGTGGGAACATGAGGACTAATTGTATCACTATATTTAGTATTTATATAATTAATAAGCGAATTTTAGAAAAACAAATTAGCCTTTTAAAGACCATTAACTTTTAAAGACATTATCACACAATCATAAGGTTGATTATCCATTTCAAAAGACAGGTTTTTAAATGGACATTTCATAAAACAATTAGAATAGAAATCTCAACTAATATCTTCCATGTATAATATCTTAACTGAAGGAAAAAAAAAACAAGTGCTCTGTTTATAAGCTGCATTTTGAAAATATGCTTGTGTTTCCTTCCCATTCTGTGAGAAAAGCAAATCATAATCATCACACAGCAGATACATATTGGACATCCTCAGATGGTTACTAGAAACAAGACACAATATTCTTTATACTTTCAGATAATAACATTCCTACTTAGCCTTGCCAAAATTTTATTGTTGTTCCCAAATTCTAATTATTCAGTTATAAAATAAATTAACTCCTTTAATGAGAGGTATTTGTGATTTCTGGTTCACAGCTCTGGAGTGACAGGGTTTCATGTTAATGAAACCATTACTATGACCATTCATCTAGTTATGTAAGAAACGGATAGAGAGCCTGTGAAGTCCAAGGCAACATGTTCGCTCCCCGGAAACAGACCAGTAAGGAATATGGACACAGGCCACACCCTGGTGACATTTACACTTGTGAGCGATGGCTTTTGCCAAAACATGACATAACAAGAAGACAGACGCAAACACAGTCTCAAGAAAGGCAAAGCCCCCAAACACGGAAGCAGAGGAGAAACCGTAAAACCAGATCTGTTCATGGATAATTGAGACCATTATAAACTTTTGAACAATAATAGATACAGAGGCAGAGCTGCCTCAAACAGAGTGTCAAACTGCATCGGGAAGGCCGGGGAGGGTTCGGGGGCGGGAGGTAGGGGGGTAAGAGATCAACCAAAGGACGGATGCATGCATATAAGCATAACCAATGGACATAAGACACTGGGGAATAGGGGAGGCTAGGGGACTGTCTAGGGCGGGGGGAAAAAATGGACACATATGTAATACCCTTTGTAATAAAAAATAAAATTAAAAAAAAAGATGAACAAAAAAAAAATAAAACAGATCTGGAGGAAAGGCAACTCACAGGCCTCTGGTTTCTTTTGCTTTGTGTTTGGACAATAAGGACAGTCATCTCCTAGGAGAAGGTGGTGTGACATCATGGTTGTAAGGGGAAGCTGAACAGTCCCACACAGTTTCTTGGCTAAGAAATTCAGCATCTGCCTGAGTAGAATTCTTAAAAAGCAGGTTTCTCAATGGCAAGGTATAAAATTTTACTTTTCTAGACCTCTCCTTTATTTGGCCTCTATTTATTTGGTCTACAGCCTTCTTCTTCTTCTTTTCTTTTTTCAAATTCCACCACATCCTGTAAACTTCATATTCTTAATTGTCTGCTTTGTTAAATGCCAATATACACATTAAGCACTGGGTTCTCCAACCAACTTACTATCCCTTCAATCTCTATAACAAGATTTCAGCCTGAAACACATGATGGAATTACTGGCACTGAAAGTAAAGCACTTCTGATTAGATAGATTTCTGTCCAAAGGTGAGGTGTCCATTATGCTATTGAAAGATGTTTTTTTACTGTTTCTATCATAGCATTTTAAAATAAATGTTTTGTGTAACTTGGAAGGCCTCCAATTCATTGCATTTAACACCTCTCAATTTTTTTCTAGAACACTATCTCAATTAGTTCATATTGAGTGAGCAACCACCTGACTTTTTAGCATAAATATTTGCAATAGATCTTCCTTATCTTTTTAAAATATACTTTATTGATTTCAGAGAAGAAAGAAGAAGGAGAGAGAGATAGAAACATCAGTGATGAGAGAGAAGCCACTACTGGCGATCAGCCCACAACCTGGGCATGTGCCCTTGACCAGAACCAAACCCGGGACCCTTCAGCCCACAGGCTGACGTTCTATCCACTGAGCCAAATCCACCAGGGCAAATCTTCCTTATCTTGATATTGTCTTATGTTTTAAAGCAGCCGTGGGCAAACTATGGCCCGCGGGCCAGATTCGGCCCTTTGAAATGAATAAAACTATTGAAAAAAAAGACCGTACCCTTTTATGTAATGATGTTTACTTTGAATTTATATTAGTTCACACAAACACTCCATCCATGCTTTTGTTCCGGCCCTCCGGTCCAGTTTAAGAACCCATTGTGGCCCTCGAGTCAAAAAGTTTGCCCACCCGTTTTAGAGTCAAATGTACATGTTTATAATAAACATAAGTGCAGTTAATGTAATGGATAGTGTGACTACTCATATTATTTTTTTCTCTCAGCATTTATCGTGAAAAGTTAATAAGTGAGGTTTTCATCTTCACTATAGACATAAATAGTGAAAACAGTAGAATCAGAGCCTCACTGTGAATGACAGCTTTGAATAAAATATTCTTGCTTTTAAAAAATCCAGAGTTTATTAGTTACCATTCACTTAAGGAAGGTGTTTAACAAATTTTTGTGGTAAGGAGTGGGGAAGAGTTAATATAATATCAAGAATATATTCAAATACACTGAAGAATTTTAACACACATTTTATTCAGTATATGAATTATTTTACATTTTGTAAAATATTAATCTTGACAAAAATATTAATCTTGATTTATATATATTATATATGTAAGTATATAATGAACCCCATGTGACTATTTTCATTGAAATCTATGTTAAAGTTAAACTTAAAAATTAAATGCCTCCATCTCGCCAGCCACATTTCCAGTTCTCACAAACTGATGTTGTGCTGGCCAGTGCAGATACAGGAGACTCTGATTCTCACAGGAAGCCCTCCTGCACAGAACTGGAACTGTAGTTAGCTTCTGGAGCGGTGAGCCGGAATCATACACACTCAGGACCCAGACAAGTACACGGTACATAGGAGTCGTTAATGAATATTTGTTGAACAAATGTCTCATCAAATCATACAGGAGGCTCTTTCCTCTCTTACACACTCATAAGAATTATAAAGCTGTGAAACATTATGAAGTGAAAATGAGAACTATATGAAATAAAAAGTCAGTGAGCTTTCGAACGCAGCTGTGCGGATCTAAGTGTGCGGTCCAGCCTTACCTCTCTCTTCCTTGGGTTTGACCTCTTTGCTGGGCTTAGCGACTCTCCTGTCTTTTTCCAGGTCCTCTGGGGCAGCCCTGCGCCTGTGGGACGGGGGAGAGGGAACCAATGACTCCAGGAGGGCTGTACTTCAAGTTAGGAAAACGAACATTAGGTGATGCTCTTACACTGAATTGGAAATGTTTGTGGTGAAACTTACTATATACATACTAACACTACTCTCCTGGAGATTAATACAGCAACATTCTAACAGCTAATGGGCTTAATGCTTCATGGTAAATTAACAGAAATCTAAAATCTGTTACAAATTATCTGAAATTTTTTAAAATATATTTTCATTGATTTCAGAGAGGAAGAGAGAGGGAGAGAGAGAGAGAAAGATCAAAGAAACATCGATGAGAGAAAATCGTTGATCAGCTGCCACCTGCACACCCCACACTGGGGTGGAACCCTTAACCCAGGCAAGTGCCCTGCCCTGGAATTGAACCATGACCTCCTGGTTCATAGGTTGATGCTCAACCACTGAGCCACACTTGCTGGGCATAAGGCGATAATAAAGCAGTTTGTTTTTAAGAAATTGGTCTTTCCTAAGGATTTGCTATTGAAAAGGGGGTTTTAAAAAAATAAGTTAAATGAGCTATTTTTCTAATTTCAGTTTAGCAATTTCTGGGGAATCAATATGAATGACAAGGAGCAAGAACACTATTTCAGATTTGAAGTTTAAGGTTTTAGAAAAATGTACAAATTAAAATGTTATTTCTTTTCTAAAAACTCTTTTAGCTAAAGTCCTATATGTTGAACAACGATATATTTCTCATTATCAGTATCACTTCTTGGATCCTAGTCTACGTTTCATTGTATTTCAACAATGTATTTTTTTCCCTAACAAAAGTTATAAGAAAATCAGCAAAGCAAGGAGTTTCGTTTTTTATTAAACTATCATTTTTCTTATTAAAGAAAGCTGTATACCTGACTACCATTTCCTATCTCTGATGGCTGCATATTACATGTTTCATTGTTATTCTGCAATTTATTTAGGAAAGTCTGTCTATTCTGAGGTCAGAAATATATTCATTATATGTTCTTCCTTCAGTTATAATTTCATTTAAACATTTCTTTTGAAAAAGGTAATGTATTTTTTCTTGTTTGCTTTTAAAAACAAAAAAATAATTATCCCAGCATCTATTATTAAATAATGCTCTACCCACTGTTAGCCTCCATCTATTGGGGTGATTGTTGCTGTTTGTTAGGGGTGGTTGTTATTTGTTTGTTTAATGATTCTTTTAAACATTTTTTGCAACATCTGCATTCTTTGTCACGTGTGGCCACTACAGGAAGTGTTTCATCAGTGTATTGGTGAGCTTCTGTTTTGCCTGTCAGCTTCCACAGCTGGAGCCGAAAGAGAGAAAGGGGGGAAATGCCTCCCAATCCTCACAGATAGGCTCTGTGATGGAGGACTCCTTCAATGCTTATCCAGGCTGTTTACATCTCTTCCTCTTACCATCTGTTCTTGCCTAAAGGTTAGCCACAGGTCAAAGGTTAGGGTCTTCTTGGTTCTTGGTTCTTCCCTGCACGTGTCCAGGATTGGTCATCTGTGTGCATTTCTCAATTCCCCGACATATGTGAGAGCTCTGAAAAGCCTCATTTTCTCAGGTACCTCTGCGCTCAGCTCTTCTTTCCCAGGCCCTCTGGTCTGTCCAATGCTAGGTCCAACTCTTATCAACAGCCTCATCAGTGGTGGCAAGGATATGCCTTTTAGTGCTTCCAACAAACACTCGCTGGAAGTGGTCAGACAGGTCATGACACTGAACCACACTTCTTCTAGCAGAAGGTCTCTGTCGTGCCCTCTGACACCAGTGCAGGAGGCCTCTTTGGGGCCGCCTCTGATTTGGGGGCTGGAGGAGGCAAGTAGGCAATTGAAAATGCCACCGTGGTCTCCTCATAAAATGCGGCAGACTTCATCATCTTCTTCCATGGTTGTAGTGAGTTTTTTACTAGATTATACATTTTGGAAAAAGTTGATTCTGACCAATTTTTACCAAATTTATAGTTGCTTAGTGGTGGTACAGAGCCCTGGAGATCCCTATTCTGTCATTTTCCATGATATCCTAATTCTTACTTTTTAAAAAAAATTATATTTTAGTATCTAATATGAAAAACTCTGCTTTCAATTTTCTGTTCCTTTTGAAATAAAACTCCTCGAAGCAGATTAATCATCTAAATGTGAACATGAACGAATAAAAGCAGCATGACAGGTTCTTACCGTTCCTCCAAAGAAGTTTCAAACTGTCAAAATAAAAGATCTCAATAAAAAACAAATTTTAGACATCTCAGAAAACAATAGCAAACTTAACTTATACTTGAACTCACTGGTAAACTTGTAACTACTCCACTTCACATATCCCATTATATTTCTGTCAAATTATATACTCTGTTGTTTCCAAAACAGTAATATACTTCTACTACCTACTCTATACTTTCCTTATTACTCTCGCCTGGTTGTTTTTACCTTTCATCATCTGTGTTTCTAAATCTTACACTTTTATCAGGACCAGTTAAAATGCCCCTTATTCCCAAATGACTTTCCACACAATCTAAATCCATGACTTCCTTTGAACTTTAATATATCACAAAAGAGTGGAAAACACATAATTTCATGAGTTCACAAACACTCAGTTTTCCATAGAATTATCCTTGTCTTTTCTCTCTCCTGGACTATACACTCTTTGGAAGGAGTCTTGTTCTATGATATACTCTAAAATAACCATGAGCTTTAAGGGGCATAAGTTACTAAAAACACAAGGAATACATAGTCTGAATGTTATGGGTTTTGTAAATAACCTCCAAGTCAAGATGTTAGATTGGGCATATATCATTACTTCTCTTCAATTCCCATTTCATACCAACATTTCTGGAGAAAAATATATATGTCTGTCAATAAAATCATTGGGACATATATTTTAAAAGAACACCCAGAAATAGAAAGTAACCTGATGAGACTGAGAGTGAAGACAGAGCAAAGAAACGTATAGTTCAGAAGACAAGTGGAGGTCCTTTCAGGGGAGATGAGAGGCTTCTCTGGAGAACCCTTGCAGAATTCCCAGGCTGTGAGAATAAACAGGTGGTAGACAGCCAAGCTAATAATAGAAGGGTGGCCTGTGGTGAGATGAACAGATATCATTGCTTCCCCCAAGAATCCTGACTAGGTGACTGAGAAGGACTCTCTCACCGCACTGGAGATCTGCCTAAGATGGAAAGGTTGTCTAATAAATATGGAAGTTATGGTTCTAGAGAGAAACAAAACAGAGCCCACGGAACTAGCAAATTCTCCTGTAGACACAAATAGGTGGGAAGGAAAACAAAGACAGATTTCACCAATAGTGAAGATATCCCAAGATGCTACAAATTCAAATGTAAGCTTATTTAGGCAAACGGTGAGGTCCTCTACTATGTTATAATCTTACTAGAGGCCCAGTGCACAAAATTCATGCAAGCGTAGGCCTTCCTTCCTCCGGCTGCCAGCACTGGCTTCTCTCCAGCAACTGGTACCTGGCTTCCCTCTGGCTGCTGGCAGGCACCCAGGACCCAGGCTTCCCTTGCAGCCCTGGCTTTGTCCAGGAGGTTGTCCAGAAGGATGTCTGGTCTAATTAGCATATTACACTTTTATTATTATAGACCAGTGGCCCGGTGCACAAAATTCATGCGGGGGGGTGGGGGGGGAGGTTTGTGCCTCAGCCTGGCCTGCACCTTCTCCAATCTGGGACCACTGGGGGAATGTATCAGAAATTTGGTCAAGAGGGTCAGATGATTAAGTAGTAGGTTTCAAAATTAAAAACAAATATGAAATGTATAATCAAAGCCAAGTTTTCCAATCAGAATTCCAAGCATATTGACAATCGTGTGTTTTGGTCCCCCTCACTGACATCTCAGGGACAGATGACACAGCACAGTGATAAACAGGGTGGTCTTGGAACTCAGACACACCTGCCTGGAGGATGGTTTTGCCATGACTGTGAGACCTTGGGGAAAAACCAACCTCTGAGGTCATTTCCCTCCTCTTCATTTCCTTACAAGGTTTCATAAAGAAGTCAACAAAAGCATGTATATTAAGCCTATGATATAGTATAGTAAGCACTTAATAAAGTTTTATTGTCATTGCTATTGATGATAAGGTTATTTTTGTGAAATACATTATTTATATTTTAAAGAATGATTTCTAAATACAGACAGTCCCCCGACTTAGGATGGTTTGACTTAGTATATTTTGACTTTATGATGGTACAAAAGTGATACACATTCAGTAGAAACTGTACTTTGAATTTTTCTTTTAAATCTTTCTTGGATTAGCCCTAGCTGATTTGGCTCAGTGGACAGCGCACCGGCCTGTGAACTGAAGAGTCCCAGGTTCAATTCCGGTCTAGGGCATATGCCTGGGTTGCAGGCTCAATTCCCAGTAGGGCGGGGGGAAGGGTGGAAGCAGGAGGCAGCCAATTAATAATTCTCTCTCATAATGGGTGTTTCTCCCTCTCCTTTCCTCTCTGAAATCAATAAAAATATATTTTAAAATCAATCAATCAATCTTTTCCTGGATTAGTGACATATGGTAAGAGGCTCTCTTGTGGCGCAGCGAGCCACAGCTACACAGTCAAGGGGGTAAACGACCAATACGCTACAGCACACTCAGTGTGTTAGAGGACTCTGCCCAACTGTAGTCTGGTGTAAGTGTTCTGCACATGTCGAAGGCAGGCTCGGCTCAGCTATAATGTTCAGCAAGGTAGGTGTATTAACAACCCCTTCCTCAACAATTTTTTTGTTAAAAACGTTTCTTTTTCAGACTAATTTTTTTATTTTGGTTCTATATAGTATTTTTGATGCTGGTTATGAAAACAGTTTGTAATTATTTTTTCTTCCCATTTTTGTGGTTAAGAATAGTATTTCCTTAGAAAGTTTCTACATGAAATTATTTAGAATGGTACGTATGTAGCTGGTTTTTGAAGGAAAAGTTTTTAGACGAGTATACTCGTCGCCGACTGAAAAAAGAACATTTTGTGAAACCGTGTATACACGTTTCTGCCGGGGAAGGGGTTAAGCCACAGTCTGCTTTATATTTT